CGGCCACCATACTGATACAGGTTGTACTCTAGTCAGATTTGTTTAGAAGTTCTACAATTATGTTTGAATGCGACTGCAGAATAAGCACGTCGAAGGTGAGACCAGTGTTACCATATCTAATTTTTTGTTTACATTTGTGAGTATTGACAACCGTTTGGATTTCTCGCGAAGAAATTATTTCCTTTCGCCCCCCTTTTATGAATTCGTACGTACGCACACCGCAAACACGCTTGCTCTCGGAAAAGTGGAAAATTGCGAGATAAGCGATTTAATGGCACACAATGAAATTCCGTGGCTGCTCTCTGTCCTTTACTTTTCAATTGCTCACGAGGGCTTTTTGACAGTGCTCCTATTAATAATCACGAACAATTGAATGATATTTAAACATACTCTTGGCGCATTTCATCCAAGGATCCCAACGCGCCGTATTTACCTTCCACAATTTTGCACTTGCTATTATTATTTATCGTCATTCGTGTTTTTTTTTGTTTGCTACGTCATCTATCAGCGGAGAAAGTCATGTGTCCGGCATGGAGGCGCGGGGCTTTTTGCGTAGCCACACCTGGCAGATTTCTAGAGAGCCCCTCAGCACAGTCCCTCGTCCCCCCCCCCTCCTTCCTTAGCACCCCCCCCCCCCTTTCTCATGCTAATCCAGAGGTCAGGAGGGGAGAGGGTTCCCACGTAAACTTGAATGTCCGCCTTGAAAAGCCCTCCCATTGTCCGGCTTGCCCGGGGTGAGAGGGTGGGAGAGAGGTGTTGGGGTGGGGGGGTGGGCAGGCGGCATGGAGGGGGGGTGGGTGGTACGACCCGTGGCTGAAGTTAGAGACCCCCACTCACCCCCATCCCACCTCGGTTGGGCGTGGCGAGTTATAAAAGCTGCCAGTCCCCGCTGCGTGTGGTGCGCTGGGAGGACGACCGCGCCTCCCGCGTGTGTTATAAGTCACCCGGCTGTCCCATATGCCGCGGTGGGGATGAAGTAGATGGGGCACAGCTGATTGGCCGTTGCAACGGTGGTTGGCTGCCCATATGCTTTGGATGCATTTGTTCGTGGGGGGGGGGGGGGGTTTCTTTATTCTTTTGTTAACGCGAAGCTGCTAATTCGAATTTGCGGTCCGCGTGTCTTTTTCTTTTTGGACTCTTTGTATTGTTTGCTCGCCCGGTCGTATAATTGTATTTCGCACTTGATGATCATGAGATGTACACCGTTGATAGTGTCATATAGTACGAGTGATTGAATGTGTGCGAGTTTGTGCGGTGTAGCGGGGAAGGGTGGCGCAGGGGTGAGCGTGCTACTCTACGAACCCAGCGACCCGAGTTCGCTTCCCGCTCACGACCAAGACCAGTGACGATTATCTGAACCGGTCCTGCACTTCCCCTAGGTTGACTCGGCCTCAAATGAGTACCTGGTACGGTGTGTAAACATTGCTACTGGGGAGACAAAGGTGGTCTAGCGTGGTGCTGGGTACCCATCCCCTCGTGTACTGTGCTGGCCTTTGTAGGTGCTCGCTAACAGCATTTTCCCCAATAGTCTGTTAAGGCCATAGGGGTGATATTTGTCTTTGTATACAGTGTATGTTTAAGTAATTGGCTTTTTCATCGGTTAATACTGCTGAACAATACACTGTGATGTTAATGCACTCATCCTCATCCTGACAGGCACTCCCGTATGCCCCGTGTATTTTTTTTGTCCGCATTGGTTAAATTTGTCAAAAAATATAAATCTCTAATGCACAAATGGCCGTTGATGAAAATGCCATCACGACGCGCCGTTATATATTTATTTATTCCTACAAGATGCGGGGGCCAATGGCATTACAATTCAGGGAGGTCATAAAACAAAGTTGGGAGTGCCTTTTTCAGAGTGTATGTGCGCGTGTGTGTGCGTGCAATGGCCTCGCTTTTTTTAGTTGCCTCGACTCCGATCCCAATCCTCAAAAAAAAAAAACGCGGCGTCTTATTTGCATGGCTTTCTTATACTTCCATTACCGAGACAGGCGAGTTAAAAAAAAAAGACACGAGCCGCTGATTGCTTTGTGGCTGTGGGCCTGAAGGCTATCTGCTGCATAATAAAACAGTAAATTCAAGGTGAGGAGCAAAAGCGGTAGGGGTGTGGAGATGGATGTGATCTCGTGCGATATTGACCGTGCTGCGCACGCTGTTTTGGTTGCCCGTGTAATTGGATCTGAGCGCGAGCTGTCTTGATGTTTATGCACAAAATTGTGTGCGTGATATTACAACAAAAAAATTGCGATAAATAACGAATATCATTGTATCACGTGGCACGCTTTTGGTCAGGTCATTTAAAATAAAATGCACTTCTGTTTTTGTAATGCACATTTTTGCTTTCAAACCACAATTTATAATTTAAAAAAAACGTCCATTTTCAGTTTAAAACCTTTTCGGGCGGAATAAATTGTAACAGTTAAGTAAACGAAGCAATATAGTTTATTAATATTTGTTTTCACAAAAGGAGCGCATTAATCAAAATATTGTGAGGCAAAATGCTGCATGTACGTGCCTCATGTATTAAGACCTGGAATTGTACATTGAATCAAAGTGCTTTTAAAAGGGCTAGAGTAAACGTGCCAGTCTGTATTATCACAGCTGCGCTTAGTTTTTCCTAAAACCCATGCTACAGTGCCACTGAAGCCACCGCATTCAAAATCTCGCCTCTTCCAGACGTTATTGACTTTATTTTTGTTCTCCCCGCCGACTCCCCCCCCCCCCCCCCCCCCCATTTTCCTGTCGCTCGCTTAGCGCTGCCTGGTCACGTTCAGGGTCAGGGAATTAATACGCGCAGAAATGCAAAGCTTTTCTTATTACTGAGCATCGATCGCACTGCAGTGTCATTCATTGAGGATGGAGGCGTGATGGATGGATGAGCGAAGAACGACCCGCGCTTTCCCGCTCGCCACGCGATAGCGCGATCGATCGCAAATGCTCCGGCGACGCGCCGTGAATAATGTATTGCCAAGCGGCTGCCAAAACGTTCGATAGCCACTGTCGATTGCTGTCTTGCCCCCCCCCCACTCACCCGCCTGCCCACCAACCCCCAACGAAGCCAGCTCCTAGCACTACCCTGTTCGACAACCAGGGTTGCTTTCGGTGGGGGGGGTGGGGGGCGGGTTTCCCTCTCGTTCGGATGCCACCCGCTCAAACTTGTCGATAACGGAGAGCGACGCTTACTTGCAGTACCTCAGTGAACCCACACAGCGATGAGCAATGTCTCGTGCTCTCAGGGCCATGGAGTGGAATTCTGTTGCCGCTGCGATTTGATGAGGCAAGGTGTTGTTGGCATGGTTTATTTGCATAGTGAAACCGATTTTTTTTTGGTGGTTGATAGTGTTTTTTTGGTTCTGCATCACTCTCCTTACTACCGTGGTTTACCGAATTAGTTGTACTCATTATAGTGTGTCTCTTTGTAAGTTTCCTTGATTGAATTGTAGTTATGGTGGCCAACTTGCGTTGGTTTCGTGTGAATACCTATTGAAAGAATTGCAATTATACGTATGTAAAACACACGGAAAAATAATGATAGTTATTGTTGAATTTGTAAGGCGCATTTCATAATCAGAATATTTATTCATACTGGAGGAATCCGATGAGCTGTGAAGCTCGTTTTTTAACAGATGTCCAGTAAATTTCGATTTAAATTTCGATTTAAAGCTTTCGTGACTGCAAGGATTCATCTTCTTTGGTTCTTGAGAATAAAATAATAAAATTATTTTATAATAAAATTATTTTATTCTCATTCTACGTGACTTTACCGAAAGAACCAAAGAAGATGTCCAGTAGTTAACAGATGTCCAATAGATCCCAATGTGCCATATATAGAAAGCAGGAAAGACAACAGAACCAGGGTAAAAGGCTCGAACTATTGGGCGACAGTTCAGTTCAAAAAGGTGAGTTTTCAAAGAGCAATTTAAATCAGAATCAGAGAGGGTTTTATTCACCATGAAAGTTTGCACAGACAAGGAATTTACTTTGGAAGGAAGGTGCATACATTCAACATATCGGAATCTTAAATCTTAAATAAGAGTGGTATACAAGTCTAACTATACTAAAGGTACAAAGTCTAACTAACACTAATGGGCTAAAGTATGTAAAATTTTGAAGAAATATTTAATATAAAGTAGCTATAAGATACAATCTAAAAATACAAAAATACAAATAGGGTAACAGTGTAAAAATGCAAGGTGTCATTTTGTAGATAAAATGTTAAAGTCAGTGTAAGCCCTTGGCCTTGTTGAAGAGGCCAGCAGCGGATGGGAAGAAACTGTTTTTGTGGCGTGAGGTTTTGGTCCTGATGGACCGCAGCCTTCTGCCGGAGAGGAGTAGCTGGAACAGAGAGTGTCCAGGATGGGAGGAGTTACTCCAATTTTCTGATTTCACCAAAGGCGAAGTGTTCCGCGCTCTGTGAGCTATGCTGGCAAAAGGCCAATCACCCCAAGAACAGAGCCTCGACCTCGGAAGTCCTTAGAAGAAGGCGATCTGAGGATCTCGGGGACCTCGTTGGAGAGTTAACACGGACTCAGTTTAACACGTTGGCTTTTGCGACTAATGTTTATATTTACACAAACAGACCTCCATTATGGAAGACGACATGGAGTCAGTTCCTGCAGATGTTGTGGAAGCAACCCCATTTAGAGCCTTGTAGGTCAGCAGCAGGATCTTAGGGTTGGCTTCCACACATTTTTCTTGTTTAAAGTATAAACGTGGTTTATTTTTTAAGTTTAATCAAATTTGATGCATGATCTGCGCATTTATTTGCTTGGGAATTGTCATTTGTGAACCTCATTGGGATGTTATGGTATTATGCATCTTTTGCAAGATGTTAATATTGATAAGAATCACTCTCATATAAGCAACAGAAGAGTGAAGCGTGAGGTATTCATGGTTTAATGATTACAGTTGGGATTTATTTTACATTAATGTCTGGCCTTCGTGTTTAATGTTAACACATCTTCTCAATACAAGCAGTGTGGCTTCCTCTACCCAGCCTGAATGAGGCAGGCGCTGCACACCGAGGAATATTACAATTGTTTGAATTTTACTTGATTTTTATTTCTTTATCTGTGGTGGTGCTTGGAGACACTATATTACGGAAGGGTGTGTGTGTGTGCATCGCTTACATCGTTACGGAAACTCAGTGCTGCCACCCTCGTATATACTGTAGATTGATGTGCCCGATATTTCTCTGTCTGGATGTATATACGTATTAGTATCCAGTGATGGTACTGTATTCCTCCATGTCCCTGTGTGTGTGTGTGGAACATTCCTATGAATGAATACATTGTTTGTCATTTTAACCAAATATATTATTCGTTCCTGTTACAACTTATTTTAAGGCGTTTTATTTGCTCGAAAATGTTCAATATGCACCAAATATATATTCTGACTGATGTCATTGAGTAAGACAGGATATCACTATGAATGTTAATCCCTGTACATATTTACAATACCATAGTAGTAGCTGTTAAAATATACAACTGAATTGTAACCATATAAGAAGTTTCAACGAATATCTGGAGGGGTTTTACATGAATGTATTAATAATGACGTTATAAAACGAACTATTTTTAAGTGAAAACAAATATTTCCAACGAAAGGTAATTGAGGTAACATGTAGATTTTGTACAGATATTCAATGCCGTTAAAACTGTACGTTGCTTAAAGAGTGATTTATTGAAATAAAAATAGATACGGTGATCCAATTTGCTTGTGTTCAATAAAGCCATGTATTCAAATGAAGCCTGTTAGTCATATTATGATCACTACTAATATCAGCGGTTATGTTGTTCTTTCACCACTCCACATATGCATTCATATTAAATTGTAAAAACAAACATGCAACGGTAAATTGATTAACAGAACATATTCATGATTTGAATTTAAAACATCACCATTAATAGTTACAACAGATTTTTTTATAAAATCGACCATTTAATAATTCAATGAGAATCTAAACGTACTTTGTTTACACGCTGATATTAACAGTGAGTTGTATCGTAAATTACAGCCAGAAAAGCAAGTACAGGGGTTAAAATGTAAAGCAAAACATTTCAACACGATCCTAATTAGCTGCGTAAACACAACAGAAGTGATATTAATTTTAAAAGTCGCCCTGTGAAACAAAGCCAATCGGAATGCGTAGACGACGTTGGTACGGTCCTTCCATCGCCTCCACCCGTCCAAGTAGTCTGGTCTTCGCGACAGACGAAGCTTCAGCTCCGAGCTAGGGACCTGGGGCAGGCACGCAGGGGATCTTGCAGCACCCCCTTAAGCCACCGTCCCTTTCTCCACGTGCCGCGCGGTGAACTTAGCCCAAAAGGAGCAGACAGCAGACCGATCGAAAATTGGACGGCACGCCGGGCAATCGGCCAAACCCGACCGTCCAGCCAGAGCAGACAGGCCAGGTAGGCGCGCAAGCAAGCGGGCAGGCAGGTGACTTTGCTCATCTGCCAAGGCTGCCAGTCACCTGGCCGGCCAGCCCAAAGGGCAGCCAGCGAAGCGGGGCGGGCAGGGCGGGCAGGCAGCGCCACTGCCTCGCAACCTCACGCGGCAAGAAATGCACTGCGTAAGGCAAACGACACAGCCAAGATCTCGCCCATCCGCCCCACCCTCCCTAGCCTCAGCATTCTCCTCCACCACTCTTAATACTCTGATGGTTCACACCGAACCGAATGACAGGAGGCAGTAGGCTGACTTTAGCACTTTCCAGTGTTTACACGGACGGATGCCACGGTAAATGTGGTCATCCATCTGCTTATGCACATTTTCAAACGAAAGGCTATATTTAATGCGGTCGTTATTGTGTTAACTCAAAGGTTGACAATTTTTTACACTCGTAAAATTACACGATCAAAATTCTACGGTAGTATTTAAGGATATACATGAAGTAAAGCGTGCGTTTTATTTAAATATTTAAAATGCAAAAATTACCTGCACCGTTACTCGAAGTCTCGAAGCCCTTTTTGCGATTATTTTTTTTTGTCAACGAAATGCCTTTTCAACAACTTGATGAAATCACTCCTCTAAAAACAGCTTACGCGAACCGTCAATTCGTTGTCACGTCATCCCAAATGTCGTACGTGTATTAAAACCTCGTAACTATTTCGATGCGGCCGTTTCTTCGGCGTAGACCCGTTGTCGTTCTCAAGCGACGCTTCGGCGCGTTGATTTCGGCAACCCCCCCCCCCCCCCCCCGCGTCGGCGCAAAGGGGGTGGGCGGGCGAGCCCGCTCTCGGTCGCTTCGGACTTTTGAGCCGCACGCGTGAGTCGGTCCGCAGGAGCCGGAGCAAGTTAACGCAGGCGAAGGGTTGGCGCGCACTGTACGGCAGCGAGCCAAGGACCGGGCTGAATGGCCGATCGTGCGGCCGCCACCGCCGCCGCGTCCCGTCCCGCATGCGTGGCTGGAACGTGACCCGACATGTTTATTATCTGAGCCGATCCCGACCAACAAGCCCCCACCCCCAAAACAACGCCCTCTATCTAACTCACACCCCCCCCCCTACTACCCCTTCCGCCCCCCCCCCCCGCGACCGCCAACCATGCACAACCTGCGCCCACACGAGCCTACCCTTCTTCCGCCTCCCACCTCACTGGCCTGCCATCCCCCCCCCCCGGCCCCCGGCCCCCCTCCCCTCTCTCCCGCACACCCCCATACTCCACCTTCTGTCCCCCCAGTCACTCTAAACTGCTGTTTGCAAAAGCTTACAGGTCCAGGGATGCTGGAAAGTCATAGCAGAGTTTCCGAGGGAGGTGGGGGAGACAGTGGGAGCACGAGGCCCATTGCGCCTGTCCACCACCACTTAGGCGCGGCGTAGGTGTGGCGTGCGTGAGTGTACGGCTTGGTGAAGCTTGCTGTAGAGCACTCGTGTGTATGTGTAGTGCAGGTGTTCTGCATTTGCCGGGCCGGGCAGTTTAGCGCAAGCGGCGCCCGGTAAGTTGCTTTTCTTCGCGAATTCGGCCCCTCCGAATGTTTTTTCCGGGGGGGCGCGCGCGTCCGGTTTACCCGTCTGCGGAGCAGCTGTCGCGAATCGGGCGAAGTTTTATTTATAAGGAAAAGAAGGTGAGAGCATTTCACATTTGGCGCCCCCAGTTCTCATCCTCCCCATCCCATTCACGCCTTCTCCGCGCGCGCGCGCCCATTGCACGCCAGCCGGGCCGCTCTGGCCTCTGAATGGAGTGTCTGCAGCTTAGTCCCCGTTTTCAGTGAAAGCCTGTCACAAGCAGGGTCAATGCCATGGCTACGCTTTTGTTCCGCGTGTCACTCACGGCTTTCGCTCACCACGCAACCACTTAAATCGAGCCTGGGAAAATACTTAGCTTTCCATGCAGAGCGGCGATAAATAGCATGATAATGCATTCCGCCATGTACAAAAGAGGAGCGCTGCATCTATTTCGCTCGTAGTTTGGTTTCCCATCTTCGTAAAGTGGCGTAAAAAAGATCGCATCGGAGCGTAATGTGATTATGTTGTTTTAAGTATTTTTTTTTTTGTCGCACGCCGAAGTTTTTTCGCACGAACATTTAGCGGGTTCGGAAGTTGCTCGCGTTTAAAACTTCCGACGGAAACTTTGAAAGTTACCGTTTCCTTTGCGCAAGTTTCGGGAAAGTTATTCGTATTTATACGCGCGCGCTAATCGTGGGCTTCTGCGCAAGGATGAGGATTGAAAGATAATCCGACAGCTGGGAAAATTTTCAGTAACAACTGAAACGATGCGTGAATGGATTAAATTTCTCCATTAGCTTTACGCGGTCCTTTTGGTTTGCTGTAACGGCATACGGCGTAATTTGGATGCATGTTGGTCGCCCGCTTTTTGAAACGGTTACAGAAATATTAGCGAACGCTTTGCGACGGAGGGCGCTTTGTGTTTTTTCGCGCGTTTCGCCAACCACAGGAACGGACGTACACGATCGCCGAATGGCGAGCCTGCGATATTGTACGAATAGACAATGGTTTGGCGTAACTTACCCCCCCCCCCCTTCGCAGTTGGAGTTAGCGAAAGGGGTAAAAAAAATTCTATTGTATATATTGTAAGCGGGCTTCATGATAACGTACGGCGGATTTCGATGCGGTCGCCAACGAAATCGCGAGCGCATCCGGGGGAAAAATATAAACCCGCAAATGGCCCGCATTGTTCGATCGCCCGCCGCCTGTTGTTTTTTGCCGCATACAGTCGCCAAATATTTTGCGCAAACTTTCCGCCGGACAGGAGTCTTTTCTGGCGGTACCGTAAAATTGCCCAAAAGCTTCGTAATTCGTATAACTTTATCGGGCGCAAGGACGTCACGCGACGCAGCGTCGCGTGCGCTCGTTTAGTCGGACATTTTGCGTTACGGTTCACATGTAAACAATTGCATCGTTTTATGAAATGACTGAGCGCGATGAATCTTACACATTTTATTATAAACCATGCGATATTTGCTTGTCGCACCGTGTGGAAGACGATACGCATACCACGGGGGGGTGTGCGGGATGTAGAAGCCTATATGGACACCATGTAGGCACACGAGATGTTTGACGTATTAATCTTATTTTATGACACGCGTTGGCTAAATGAGCGAATCGGTGCATTTTCCACAAGAGTCTCGAGGTATTTTGCACGTAGAATTCCAGTTTAATTTGAAAATCACATCAAATACAAAAAGACAGCTTGCTTGGCGTGCGTGCGTCCTTACCGTTGCAGTACAATAGCACTGGTGAAAAATTGCGAGGCCTCGTTGTCTTGAAAGGCATTTCTACGCGCTTCCGTTCTTGAATACAAATATGGAAAACAGTGCGGCAGAGGATACAGATGCTTGCTAAGCCATCTTCTTCCTCCTCATTCGAAAAAGGGCCGCTGAGTGTTCGATATTAGTCCGATCGATGAATGAATGGAACAAAAGCCAACGCGAACGAGACGGCCGCCTCTTGTTTTTTAGCCCCCCCCGCCATGCAGCGAGGAGGTATGACGTGTGCTTTCCCACCAGTCGCAGCATTTGTTATGAGTTTGAGGGGGTGCAGGAGGGAAGCGAAGAAGGGGGCGGCAGTTGGGTGATCACTGAAGCTTAAGTTCCTCCTGCTGCTTAACTAATGCTGGGAAAGTTCGCCGACTGAATGGGGCGGACGCAACCGAATTAGCCAGGAGAGCAGATTTAATTGAAATTCATCTCCACGGAAGACAAGTTCACTCACAAAAGAAAGGGGAGCCGAGGGCTTTTTGGAGCGAGACAGACGCTCTGTGTGGGGGCAAGCTGCCTCTGCAGCCCTCCCTGTGCGTCCCCTGCCCCACCCCTCCTGCTGGGCCTGCAACCAGACTAGCTGCGGGGCGCTGGGACACGGGACAGGGCAGGGGCCAAAGGTGGGAAAGGGGAGGGCAGCCGACCAGAGTGAGAAGAAAGGCCTGGCCTGTTTGTCTGCCTGTCTGTTGCCATGGCCACCCGGGCCGGGATTACAGACCTTGCCCTCGGCCCACTGTCTGCTCTCCACCAAGGTCCGCCCTCTCCCAAGGCCTTCACAAGCCATCCCTGTGAAAGGCTGCATTGTCCATTGGTAGGGCTGCATGTGCGCGATTCGCATGCTTGTGTGCATGTGCCTTGAGCAGAGCAAAAGTCTTCCTCTCTCTCTTTTTTTTTTCTGGCCAAAGCATCTGTGGGCTTTTAATTTTACGTACGCGTGCGCGGCGTGAACGTGCGGAATTGTTGAGTGTGCGCCCGCGTGCGTGCATGCGCGCCCCATGTTTACGCGACGCTTTTGTGTTTCTGCTGTTCGTAGCCTTGCTCGGCCGTGTGTTGCCCACATCGCTGCCGGAGCAGAGGGCGAGGGAGCGGGTTAAAAGTGCCATTTCGGGCCTAACTCGGATGGATGGGTTTAGCGGCGTCCGCGCCCCTATGGGAAGCGGACGTCTTGGAAATTTCAGGAGCGCGTACGCGTGTCCCAACCTTAACAAATGTTTTAAAACCATTCACAGATCTTGATTCAGAGAGAGAATAACCCAACAAATGTGTGACCAAAAGCAATCATGGGGTCAGTTGCTTCATCCAGCGATGAGCTACAGTGAGCGTTGTAATGGAACCGTTTTATTATCTTGTTTAGACTTTAGAAACATAGGAGTTGATGGTTAATGGACTAACATTTGAACAATAATATTGTGGTATTGTAATATATTTTTTTATTAAAATAAGTAACTCAGATTTGGATGCAAATTTGTGTGATGTTCAAATATGTGATTCAATATAATATGTAATATACTTAATATGCCTTATAATACCACATTCAAAGATATTGTTATACAAAAGTGTGTGTTGTGTAATAGACACGTTACCCAGTTGACTGAAACTGGTTCCACAGCTGAAATGTTCCTTCTTTTTTTGTGTAAGAAAATATTGAACGAAAAACATTGACCACTTTTAAATGCTCTCCACGATGTATTTTCTCAAATTAACTTAGAAAAACCATAGATGTGTAATTGCCTAATTTGAAATTCGATGCATGGAGATACCCATGTCTTGGTTAGGTCACGGTGATGACGTTAACAGAACTAGATTTCAGATCATCTGAAGTGGACTGATTGCATGGGCCCTTATGAAATGAAGTAGCTACCCCACGGCATTTTGTATACAATAAAACCTTGGATTGCGAGCATAATTCGTTCTGGAAACGTGTTTGTAATCCAAAGCGCTCGTATATCAGTTGTGATCACGTGACGCTCGGCAGACAAAGCGTATACGTGCACTACTCGTATTGCAAGACCTCGCTCGTTTATCAAATTAATATTTATTTAATATTTTTGCTCGTCTTGCAAAACACTCGCTACGTAAACTTTCCAGCAAGGAAGACAGACAGACTTACAATGTAACATTTGAAGGTCAGACTTTGAATGATGGAAAGATAGGGGGCAGCAAAAACTATACTTTTGGTGACTCGAGAGTGGTATGGAAATGCAGAGAGTCTGTGTGTGAATCGGAGTCTAATCAGAGTGACAAGTGACCGAACGCGGTAAACTTACTTACGTACTTTATCCAGTGGCGGGAGGGATTATCGCTGTGTCTATGTAATAATGTGTATAGGAGAGGCGGAAGGGAGCGACGCTCACAACAACGGGCAGAGTGGCAAGGTGGCTAAAGCAAAGCGAGTTGGCATGGTGTGGTTTAGCGCAGGTGGCGCATCTGATAGTATACTTGAGTGAGTTAACCATAAAAACCTAAGCGTATCCCGCTGACCTTTTGCCTATGAGCCTTTTGCCACTTCAGGTAACCTCAACATACACCTAGCCGGGCACAAGGATTATGGTGATACAACCACAGCTTAGTGGCAGAATTAAATTGTTCGTGTTGTATCCATTGTTATTGTTATAGCGTAACATGTTGTTGCATTTGAGTAATATATTGCCTATCATTGCCAGGTGTTAAGTAGTCTTATTTTTAAAAATCACTTTCTCTTCATGAGACATCAAAGAATAAGTGTGGCTCTATTTTCCAAACAACCTTAAGGCACCTTAACTTTGTTTAATCCATGGTGGATATGCTTACTTGTACTTCAGAAAATGGTCCTGGCTTAAAACATGAAGACACTCTCTGAAAATGTGCACGAACAAGCAAGTGTAGTTGTTGAATTGACTCATAAATACATTCCCCAAAACTCTCTTTGTCAATTTTTTTTATCAACTTTTGAACACAATTATCTAATACACCTTGGGTTGGACAATATATCTGTAAAGGGCCCATTGTATATGATCCATAAGTTTCATTTTTTGGGGCCCATCGATTGTACTTTTGGGGTTTTTTAGGTATCGTTCTTATGTGACCCTCTAAAGTCACTCATTCGTTATGTGGTTCAGTATTTTGGTGCCAGTTTTCGTTTTCATATATATGTGTGACGTTTCTTCAAGCTGCGACTTAAAAAGTTCAATACCATCGAGGAAATGGGCAAAATTTTGGGCACTGTAGTTTCAATGTTATTATAATCGGATGTGCTATTATAGCCCCGTGGTAATTTCCTCCACATCCAATGGGAAAGTAAGACTAAACTGTACTTCTGTACATGTGGCCACTGAAATATTTACAAGGCCTCAATACTCTAAATATTTTGGAATTCGATGCAAAATAAACATTGCATACACAAAGCACATAGACGAGTTATTCTGAAGGGAACGAGCATGAATAATTGAACGTGATTGAAATTGGGCACTGCTGGAGTGTATCTAATAGTAACATAACGGGAAAGGTCATTACTATATTTTATATATATATTATTTTTCATATAAAGTAAGTTAAATTTTGATTTAAAGCTTTCGTGACTGCAGGGATTCATATTCTTGGTTCTTTCGGTAAAGTCACGTAGAAGGGAAACAATAAAATAATAAAAATAATTTAAAAATAATTTTAAAAACGTGAGAATTTTATTGTTTTATATTTTTATTATTTTATTGTTTCGCTTCTACGTGACTTTACCGAAAGAACCAAGAATATAAAGTAAGTTTCCATATTTTGTGTGTATACAAGTATGTGTTTTATATAGATTGACTGTTCCCCACCATCAGAATGAGGAATTTCCATTATTTCAGGATTGAAAGTTAAGTTCTTCAGTGGGCAGTTTAAAGAAGCAGTCTGTATATATTCTAGGCCCTCTGTGTGTGGCTACCCTGAACGTAATGTATATTTCACTCAAATACAAATCACATTCTTATTTATTTTTAAATATAATTAACTAGAGTAATATTAATTTAAGAATACATCAAATGCTTATTTGTAAAAAAAAAATATTTGTCAGAAGTCCATAATCCACTTGATATCTATTGATTAATTGGTGACTCAGAAACATCCAATTAACTTGTTTATTGTGTGAATTAGTCAAATAAAGTGTCTTGAGCACCCCTGTTGTATCCAGGATTGCTCTAAGGCGCACTTCATGTCACTGTCCCAGATCTCCAGAATTCATGACAGTAGTTAATGTAGGGTCTCAGGGAGGGCATGTACTTGTTCGATTTGAGTTTGGCACCTCCAGATACATTTCTTTTCAGCAGTTTCTTACATGGCATACACTTTATACCCACGGGTTTATTGAGCATCACACGGTGTGTCATTTTGCAACAAAAAAACCCATTTAGTCATTAACGGTTGCTTAAAAAAAATGTTCTGTATGCTCATGATTATAAAAACGACTCCCCCCCCCCCCCCTTCCTATTAGCACGGTTGGCTATGTACGGTGCGAATTTAAACATGCATACGTACACCTATGTATATATATACCGTGTACGCCGTGTGTATGCGTATTCCTGGCCACGTACATTGGTCCAAATTAGTCTTAAAACTTAACTTGCATCTCCCGTAGGTTTTCTCAGAGCCTTAAATGAGCACCTGCTGTGAAGCAACAGCATTGGCACGGGTGAGGGGGGATACAGAAGGAGTTAGTTGAGCGTACTAATGCCCACACCATCAGCTTGTGTGCCATATTGGCCCTGCTTAATATGTGCTCGGGCACAACTTCAAAAGTCGAAATTACTCGAGCAAGGGTTCTGTGTGTGTGCGTTTTTATTGTTTGTGCTTAGATTTATTCATCTATTGCTTAAGATGAAAAGCTATGGCTACACCTATGTAGCCATGTATTTAGCCCATGTTTACCAAATAATATGCATTACTTGTTCCCTGATTTTATGAAGCCAATCTGGTTCGATGCCAATCCTAGCTGAGCTTTTTTTTTTATTTGTTACAAGAATTGTAACCTCTCCCAGAGAGAATTCATGTATTTTACGGCTATAAATAATGCAATAACTTCAAAAAGTTAACACCAAATTGCTAAATGACACTTTGAAAGTTGCATTATTGCAGAT